TGTGAGATAGTCCAGGTTCTGATAGGACCAGGAACATCTGATTGTTCTGACGGGGCAGAGTTCTGTCCAGAACAGCTTGAATTCATCAAATAAATTCACTGTCAGCACCAACAACTCTCCAAAGGAGCCCATTTATTTTAAACCCTGTCATTTTGCTTCATTAATGCTTTCATCGTTCACTCCTCTGTTCTAATTAACCCTCTGAATCCTAAAACCTGCCGGCGCATTCAAAAGCTGGAGAGCGTATGAACAGAATCATCTTCACCTGTCTGACAGTAAAGCGTTCAGCCGACAGACTCAGAACCACTGTTTTTCTACATGTCTCATTTCAAACTACAGCCGTGACTCGTTAACCCGACGCTAAACGTGAAACCTTCTTCTGTGTCGGATAGCAAGGCTGTCGGATTGTCCAGACGGAGGTCCAGATACGAGGAGGGCTTGATGCTGGAAGGCTCATTAGTTGTTAATTATTGATCATAGTTGTTATAATAACTAGTAGGGCTGGTCCCAATAGCACTTTCTGCTCTCTGGATATTCAGGCCCAATTAATGATGAATATCTGAATACTCGGTGCGGTCGGGGGACACTTCCACCCCGGGGCAGCGTCCGACAGGGTCCAGAACACACAGGCAGTACTTGGCTGCTGATGCTAGTTTAGTTAGGTAAGTATTTCTGCTGAGCCTCTGCACTTCTAGCAGCTTATGGGTAGTGTTTCTGGTCATGCTCCTTCACTGGCTCATGTTTCACTAAAGTCCTGCAGCTCTGAGGAACCAGAACCACGTGAAGGAGGAGCCAGAACTCAGAACTCTGTCAGCAGGACGATGGACACCAGTGAAAGTGGAAAACAAATTTAAAAATGTGAATTTCTTGTATTGTTTAGTTCTGCCAAATGCTGATTAGTGATGAATTTTTAATTTGACCAAACGGTTTCTCCTGCTGACAATGAAAAGTGGCCAAAGGCTAAACCAGGCCGGCTCCACACGGTTTAACTCCGTCCTCGTGTCCTCTCCTCTCTGTGGAGACACTGCCTGCAGCTCAACCTAAAGCCCTGATGCTTTGTTGGCTGCAGCTGAGTCAGCAGTGAGAGGCTCCCCCTGGTGGAACAACCAAGTACTGCAGCTGGTCTACAATACGTTAGCTGACATCGTGACCGTCTTATTCAGCCATTAGTTAAATCATTAACTGCACTTAATCAGTGGACCGACTGTCACACAGATAGAAATGCATTTCTGTGGATACAGCTTTGCCCCAACAGTTGCTGTGATTTCAGGTTGACACTGTAGTAGCCCCTCGCTAGTCACTGTGCATACAGAGATCTCCGTCTCACCCTGGAGTCCATCCAGGAGATCCTGTAGAAGCAAAACAACAGACGTACTTCACCAGGTCAACATCAAAACAGCACTTTTCTAATGAACAGCTTCTACATTAAATACCAACACAAGTTGAGAACCGGGCCCGCTAACCGCTACCAAGCCCAGCATCTACCCTGATGGAATCCTCTCTGCTCGGCCCAGCAGTGGATCTGAGGATTCTAACATGCTGACGCTACAATTCACAGCGATGCGATAACGAGTCTGAGAGCTTCGGTTTACACAAATACAAACAGTTTCTAGGAACCCTATCTGCCTGGAAAGGAACTACATGCAGTTGTTTTTGAAAAAGTTTAAGCTACATGATTTAAAAATAAAGAAGCCCAACGCTGACCAACCATCAGTCCAGTTCTGCTGATTGTCACGTAGCTGGAGTCTGAGAGGTGCCAGCATGTGGGCCCACTGGGCTGCACGACTCAGAACTTAGCGCTGTAGGTGTCGTACAGCCTCCACAATGCTGCGCTCGTACACGTTCTGCACAGCGACTCTACAGCCATGTTCCACCATGTGACACGTATCCTCCAACAACTTGCTGACAACCAGAAAAACAACGGTGGCTCTTTGTATTTAGCTTCCGTCTCCTGTCTGCTCTTTGAAAACACGACCTGCAGTTCAGCCGAAACAAATCTGTGAATGTTGGTCATGTGACTGTTGATCTGAGCCAATCCCTGACGATGACTCGGTCGCACCGAGGAGTCCAGTCTGGTCGGAGCAAACTGATTATTGGAGGCACATTTTCAGGCACAAGTTTAGATTTAGTCTTTTTCGACAGAACAGCATGTTGTTGTTAAGCAGTTACGAATCAAACTGCTGTGAAGAGATTACAACAGACTTTGAGCAAAACCTGGAATACATCTACAGCAGCTGTATTTAGACTATTTTCTCAAAGAGTAACGTCTTCATCGGGGAAGGGTACCGGGCCACGGTAACACTTGGTACAGGGCCGCAGTAACACTTGGTACTGGTACATGATCTAGCACCGTTAAGCTCCTTGACGAATGACATTAGTTGTGCAACATTGTCACAGTTACGCGCTACGTTAGCTTCATGGCTAACAGGGCAAAGAGCTGCTCCCATCTGCTCACTCTCTGTCTCTCCGTGTAAACAACAGATGTTGCACTGTGGGCGGGACGTGCAGAGAGAGAGCTGCTGCATGAGAGCCACGGGACAGAACTTCTATACTGAGGCCTCGTTTACACGTAGGAACAACGGCGAGCTCAGCGAGCCTTTGGTTTGCACGTAAATGAAGCTACGAGTCACCGAAAACGATCATTTCTGAAAACTCCGGCCAAAGTGGAGATCTGGAAAAACTCCGTCTTTACGCCTGCACGTGGACAGGAGGCGGAGGAGTCTGACGTCACAGTAAAGCTTCACAGTGTCATACGTGTGCGACCATGCTTACAGTTTTTTCCAGGATTCTGATTGGCTAGCATGGCTGTATGTTTCTCGTTACACTGCCCCCTATAGGTCTGGCAGCTCATAGCAGCTCCTAACAATGTGATTGTTTTGAAAACGTCGATCTGTTTTTGTAAATGCCCAGCTGTGTGTAAACGTGGCCTAAACGACGTTACAGGTTATTTACTGTGGCAGACCGACCGCAGCACGTTTACTCTGTTTAACACTTTTTTTTCCGACTGATTTCAGCAATTTTAGATTAAATCACTATTTTTTGCAGCTTATGTAAACTGTGCTAACCCAAGCTAGTTCAAGAGCAAACGTAAGTATCAGAAAAGACGTCTACTTCATTTAATGCAACAAATAATCAATTTAATCAATGATTATCACATCTACCCCTACTTAAAATTTACATTCCTAATCTAAAACAGGCAAACTAATACGTGTTGGAAAAACAACTGAAATGGAGTCACCATATTATAACTAATGATGTCAAAAAAGCTAACGAGGCTAGCTAGTGGAGGACTAAGCTACAGTACGAGTACAAACCTACACCGCTGCTCTCTAGCGCCTCCTGGTTGACTCAATGTTCATTAAAGGCCAAATGTGTATGGGGTTTACCTTATAACCTGACAGACTGTGCATGACCCTATGATTTCCCTTTCAAATATAAATCCATGTGACATTATTTACTTTGGAAGACTGCAGCTGGTCGAACATGAAACTGATGTTATATCTACCTCTTCCTGGTTTAAACAAACCAGACAAACTGATGTTATATTTACGTCTTCCTGGTTTAAACAAACCAGACAAACTGATGTTTACTGTCTGAACAGAACAAAGAAACCTGAAATGGCATCAATACATTTTAACCAGCTATGTCAGAAACGCTAGCAAACAGGCTAGAGGCTAGCTAATACAGGCTATAGCTACAATACAAACACAAACCTACGTAGCCGGGAAGCTCAACAGCGCCCGGCTAAACAAAACTAACAACTTTAAAAGTCGAGTATTATATAGTTCACTATAGTTCCCCGACACAGGATTGAGCTACAATAGGAGCACAAACCTGCGTGGCTGCTCTCCAGCGCCCCCTGGCTGAAGGCACCAGGCTACTGTCAGCAACACTGTAGGAAGTTGATTTAAACAAACCAAGTGTTTACGACCAAAGACAACAAAGAAATGTGACTCAGAGTCGGTCAGACATGCTAACCAACATGCTAGCTAACACTGGTTCAGTCACACAGCGAGCGCAGAGTGCCGCCACTGCTCTCTAGCGCCCCCTGGTTGAAGGCCCAGTTTAATTCAAATCTTGTTCAAGTAAATTGTTATAAATTTGTGTTCTGAATTTAAACAAACCAAACGGATGTGTTTACTGACAGAAAAGAACAAAGAAACTAAAATAAAGTCACTAAACTTTAGCTATGTTAGAAGTGCCACTACGCAGGCTAGCTAGTGGAAGATATGCAGCTGTCTAAACAATGTTTAGCGAGTCCAAATGTAGGCTCACCGAGTTTTCCTGCAAACATTAACATCTATTAACGACTGTTAGCAACTATGTGCTTTTTAAAATAGTTTTCCTAATTAAGTCAACAAAGGCAAACTGATGTGTTAACGACGAGACAGAACAAAGAAACCTGAAGCTAACCATGTCAGAAACGCTAAACGCATGTTCACCAATACGAGCTCAGCCCTGCGTGGCTGCTCTCCAGCGCCCCCTGGCTGAAGGCACCAGGCTACTGTCAGCAACACTTTAGGAAGTTGATTTAAACAAACCAAGTGTTTATGACCGAAGACAACAAAGAAATGTGACTCAGAGTTGGTCAGACATGCTAACCAACATGTGAGCTAACACTGGTCCAGCCACACAGCCAGCGCAGAGCTCCGCCGCTGCTCTCTAGCGCCCCCTGCCAACGGCGCCAGGCTCCTTTGAACAACACTGAAAGAACACTTAAAGAACTCAGGCCAAACGTTTGTTCAGCAGCCGCCAAACGGAATCCTACAACTTTCAGCGCTTTCTGAAAGACGCCATTTTTCTCACGGACCTGTGAAGCGCCAGCGACCAGCGCCGAGCTGCTCTGCCCGCCGCCGTCGCTCCGTCTGCCGCTCCGAGTCGTGGCGGCTCCCGCTGCCCCTCCGGCCGGCGGGCCTCCGCTCCACAGACGCGTTAGCGGAGCCGGGAACCTGCGGGCTACCGACAGAAGTGAACGTGCTCGGGGAGCCAAGTGGGATTACCTTTTAACGGCGCTGTCTCGGCATCCTCCGGTCGCCGCTGTGCCGACGCTCCACGGTAAAATGGCTGCAACAACAGCGGTGTGGATGACAGAGCGGGAGGAGAGGCGGAGGCTGCCGGGGAGCGAGCGGAGGGGGCGGGCTCTGGCCGAGGGGTGGGGGTGGGGAGCCGAGCGAGCAGCTCCAGTTCAGCCGAACACAGCTAAACCGGATTAATCCCGGCAGGTGAAGCTCACCTGCAGTCGATGAGACTAAACAGTCCAACTGCAATCCCAGAAACCTGAGCGCGCACTGACGTCACGGCGGGGCGGGGCTTCAGCCCGTTTCTGTGTTTGTGGGTTAAACTCTTCAAACAAAGATGGCGGCCGGAAGCTGAGGCTCCTGAACAAACAGCTCTATGGCCGAGGGTCCGGTTACAGGCTGGAGGCAGAGTCCAGCTGGTCCTGGCTGAACCTCGTGTCTGTGGCTCAACACCAGAGGTACATTTAATTTACCACACAGGTGAGCAGGAGGCGGAGCTACGCAATACAGGTGTCTAAAACACACCTGCATAATGTCAGAAAAACACATCTATTCATTTAGTTACTGTTTGGTTGGGGATGAGCACAGAAACATAACTACAGCACGACTCTGAATCTACGTTCTATTCCATAGTACAACATACACAACTACCATACTGTGTACAACATGCTGTACTACCATACTGTGTACAACATACACTACTACCATACTGTGTACAACATACCACGCTATCACATACTCCACCACCACACCATGTACCATACTACTACACACTACACTGTGGCATTCTGTGCTATCACATAGTGTACTACGACATCAGATACTACACTATATATGTACTACAACAACATACTATAGTAGCACACCATATACCATCCTACGTCACACCGTACTCTGACGTGCTGTATTATGCTGTATTATACTGTAGTATACTACGTCACACTGTACTCTGACGTGCTGTATTATACTGTAGTATACTACATCAAACTGTACTCTGACATGCTGTATTATACTGTAGTATACTACTTCACTCTTTGACACCCCTTGTTACCACTGGGGGGCTTCAGGCTGTTGTTGTGTTTGTGGGTTGAACTCTTCCGGCAGCCACAAACACAGAGTATAAACTCGTTGGTTTTGGTGACTCAGCATGAACGTTGTGGTCGAAGTTGATGGATCCGACACAGCAGCGTAAACAGAAAGGCTCAAACTTGTCCAAAAGTTTTTAAAAGTGGTCTTTATTGACTATTTTCTAATATAGTCACATGACCAAGTTTATGTCCTTAATACTTCCCCCCGGGTCTCGTCTCGGTTCATTAATGGTCATGAGGTCAGTTTGTGATGGTCACCTTTGTAATAAACTCAGAGGAACTAGTCCTGAACAGCTGGAAGCAACACACTTCAGGGGAAAACTCAGATGACATCCAACACTGGTGAGGGTCATTATTCTCTAAGCTGTGAGTGAAACTGTACTGAGTCTAATGGATGAAACATGGCTCAGGTTCAGGCTGAGCTAAGATACTAGAGGCTAAACCTTCGAATCCTGTCTGTGACGAGGACAAATCAAACAAAGCTCCACCAGAAGTTAGACGCTGAAACTCGATGACGTCCACAAAACTCTGTAAGCAGGTCTCCTGATTGCCCCATTACATGTTCATTTGTACTTTTGCATGAGACCTCCAACAGACGGCTTTAAATACTGTTCTACGAGTCCACATCAACATTTTCCAGGTCAGAACATCAAAGAACTGGACCAACAGCAACAAGAAGACAAAAACATCACAAAAATGAGACACAAAATTTTTAAAAAACTGACAAAACTCTCCCAGAGAGACACAAAACGACACATAAAGACATTAATGAGACACAAAACTACAACAAGGTCCAGAATGACCATGTTGAGACACAAAAAACATAAAACATGAACAACATGAGACGAAACAACAAACACAAACCACAAACCTGTAGCTCTGCTCACATAAACCCACATCTAGAACCTGTGGACTCCAGGTTCGGGTTCCTACCAATGATCCACATCAACATTTAGTCTGAACATGTAAAACCAGAACCTTGTCTGGTACAACTTCACCACATCAGGTTCTGCTTATGTTAGAGCCTCAACAGTTGGTGAAATGTGACCAGAGACTGGGTTCTAGTAGAACCATGGATCCATCCATAGACAGACACTGATAGGAACTTTCTGGACCCAACAAATTTTCCCCAAGTACTGAATGCTAACGCTAGTTTAGGGTCCCAAATAGTGGATCAGTAAATAGTGAACAGAACCTGATCTGCTGTCTGGGACTCAGCTGTTCCACTTCACCCTCCATCAGAACCTGCTATAAAACCAAACCGGTAGTTTCTGTGGAGCTGCAGAGTCGGTTAGAATCCTCCATGGGTTCAGAACTTTAAAGCACAGATTTGAAATTCATGTGCAAAAGATTCTTTTTTAGCATTTTGCTGTTCCTCAGACGGCAGAGAGGATTTTATCCAGCATGTTTCCCACCAGAACACAGCGCTGGGCTGAGTGGTGATACAGAGCAGGACACGTTTTATTTGCTGTGAACATTAATTATTAACACATTTCTGTTCCTGCTGATTTACCAGATAAAACACAACCTGTGGTTCAAAGCATGTAGATGGAACCAGCTTTTCATGCTGATGTTCCTCCATCAGCTGTAGAAAGATGTTCCACCATCAGATGTAGAGAGATGTTCCACCATCAGATGTAGAAAGATGTTCCACCATCAGTAGAAAGATGTTCCACCATCAGATGTAGAAAGATGTTCCACCATCAGATGTAGAGAGATGTTCCACCATCAGATGTAGAAAGATGTTCCACCATCAGCTGTAGAAAGATGTTCCACCATGAGATGTAGAAAGATATTCCACCATCATGTAGAAAGATGTTCCACCATCAGCTGAATGTGTCTCCACCAACTGGCTCCTCTGTTCTCTGGTTCTGATCCATACTGCGTTTATTTATTGATCCAGGAGGTTGGATTTTCATCTCAGTGTCAGGTTTGTTAAAGAACCTTCAGAAAATGTAAAATCCAGGCGCCGCTATAGCTCGCCTGGTTGAGCTGGCGTCCCATGTACAGGGCTACAGTCCCCATGTGGAGGTCATGAGTTTGAATCCCGCTCATGGCCCTTTCCCACACGTCCTTCCCCCATTCTTCTCCCCACTTTCCTGTCTCTCTCTCACTGTTCTATCAAATAAAGGCACAAAAAGGCCAAAACAAAATGTCAAATCCAATGTTTCTTTCTGTTTTTTACAGCTTCTGGCTGATAAACTGAGGCCACGTTAACACATAGCGAACTATTTACAAAAAACGGATCTACGTTTTCAAAAACATTCAACAAAGTCTTTGTTTACACAAACCCAAATAAACACGACATTACGAGCTGCTATGAGCTGCCAGACCTACATGGGGCAGTGTACTGGGAAGACAGTCGTGCTAGCCAATCAGAATCCTGGAAAAAACACAACAACTAACGCACACACGACGCTGATTTTGTCACATGCTGTGTTGGGTTGGTCCAAATGGGAATGACTGGGCTCTGGCTATACGGTGGGTATATTGACAGAACACTGTTTATTTATTTATATTATTTGTTTATTTATTCACACAGTAAAGGGCATTTAAAAACACATACATATTTACAAACTGACAAACGTATCCAGCAGGCGTCGTGCAGAACAGCGGTATCTATTTACAGGAGCGGACATTTGACTGGCCTACCGACGCTCTCTTCATAGTTTGTGCCATAAGATCAGTTTGTCAACATTTTCGGGTAAGAGTGAACTCCTGCCTTGGGAGGAAGCCGGAGAACCCGGAGAGAACCCACGCTGCACAGGGAGAACATGGAGACTCCACGCAGAAAGATCCTGGGTGTCCTCACCGGGACGCCAACCGGCGACCTTCTACTGTGAGGCCACGGTGCTAACTACTGAGCCCTAGACAGCCCAGTCCAGAAACATGTTGAGGTTAATTGGTGATTCTAAATTGTCCGTAGGTGTGAATGTGAGTGTGCTTGGTTGTCTGTCTCTAAGTGTAGCCCTGTGATAGACTGGTTACCTGTCCAGGTGAACCTGCCTTCACCCTGAGTCAGCTGGGATAGGCTCCGCCCCCCATGACTCTTGTGAGGATTAAGGTGTAGAGATGATGGATGGATGTTTCTAGAACCACTTACACTGCAGCACTCTACTCGGATCAGACTGGCGCTGATGTTTCCGCTGCTATTAATATTAAACTTTTCTACACGTTTGTCTTGTTGAGACCTGCAGCGACATCTGGATCACAAAACATCTGCTTCTCTTTTTTTTTTAGTCATATTTTAACTCACCTGTAATCTGATTATTGACCTACTGTCAGTATCACAGATTCTGAATCAGTGACATGATGAGAACCAACAGAGAAACTTTCAGGTTTTTATCTTGAATACTTCCTCAGATGTTGTTGTTCAAACGGACTCAGACTGGAATGAGAGACAAAGACAGAAGAATCCGACATCTTTTATCTGAAGCTAAAAGTTCACAGATATCTTCATAAACATTCACATTTCATGCTACAAAGGTTTCAGAATAATCAAAGACGATCAAACGGGAACGTTCTAAATGGTCTTTTTTACAAGTATTGGACATTTAGCTGCTGTGAACATAATCGGCATCAGTTGTTCTCACAGAACCTGTCGGAGCAAAACTAATTATTTAACGAATACAAACTATGAACATTTATGAAGCAGCAAAGTCAAACCTGTCCTGGTTCTCTTGTTGTATCCTGTTAACTCAAATATCATTTAAAAGTCATTATCTGATGATATTTGCAGATCGACAGAAATCGTTTTATGTGCAATATTATCTCCTCAGCAGCTGAAACGCTTCATTACCTGAAAACTGGTCGACGCTGGAGCCGAACATTCGCTTCTTTAAGCTTCTCATTTGGAGGATTTTCTGCTTCATGTCTGTGAGCAGACTTTAACAGATCCCATCAACACAACAGCTGTTAGCATGTTAACGTGTTAGCTGGAGGTTCTGACCAGAAGTCGCAATGTCACTTTGACTCAGTTAATGCAGCGTTTGAAGTTCTTTCTTCTCTCTGCTGTTGACGCCTGGACAGCTGCTAACAGAACTTCTCCCTCGACGGTTAGAGTCATGCTCTGCTCACCGGCCCACAGCCTAGGCTGAGGACCAAAGGCGACCGGGCCTTTTCTGTCAGAGCCTCCACCCTCTGGACCAGCCTCCCTGAGGAGATCAGATCTGCAGCACTTCATCCTCCCTTAAAACTCTTTTAAAAACACATTTACAGGAGTTGTTTTATGAGTGTACTTTTACTCCATTTGATAACAGTATTAAGGGCGGTACATTCTATCTTCTGTTTTATTCCTTTATTGTCTTTTAATTGTCTTCTTTTACTGGGTTTTATTTTTCTTATATATTTTTCTATTGTTTTATTGTCTTTCATGCTTTATGTGTTTCACCATCACCATTTTTTATTTATGTATTTTTTGCTTTTTACTTCTTTTAATGTTGTTTAATGTTGTTCTTACACTTCTCTTTGAATCTGTACAGCACTTTGTAACCCTGTTGAGTGCTATATAAATAAAATTTCTTCTTCTTCTTATTATTATTATTATTATGCTGCTGCCCCCACAGGTCATTAGCAGAACTGCACCGACAGTAAAATCCAGTTCAGGAAACATGTTGCTGTAAACTCTGCATAGCTCCGCCCCCTTACATTTGAACCAATCAGAATGAGCAGCTGCCTCACCTTCCACCAGGTTCATTTACTGTCTACAGCTGCTTCTGTTAGAGTGAACACAACAGTCTTGGTGCACTGCAGCATCTGAGGGTTATTGGGGAACATTCAGGGTTCCCTAAAGGCTCCACAACAGCAACGTTCAGATAAAGTTTGGGTAACAAATATTCTCTAATGATGAGGGACAAAGCCAGATCTAGGGAACCTTCAGAGAAGATTCAGGGTTCCTGAAGGTTCAGCAGACATGAACCTTCAGGAAACGTTCCCTAAAGATCCAGCACACTTTCAGTGAACCTTCAGGGAACGTTCCCTGACTGTTCCCTAAAGGTTCAACGATAACAGGGAATGTTTGTTTCATGTTCCCTGAAGGTCACCGTCTGCTGGGAATGCCTTGTCAGTGTTTCTATGAGCTGTACAGAACCAGAACCAGAACCAGAGCGTTAATCATAAACCACAACTTTATTCAAAACTGGTTCAACAAACAAAAAGACGAAGAAGAAGGAGACACGGTGGAGGAATCAGAGAAGAACAGCTGCTGCGTCCACGTTGTCCTTCACTTCTTCTTGAACCTGAAGAACACAACAGAGCATCAATAAGACCTGAGCAGATCCACCTGGATCCGAGCTGAACAGGTGAGACTCACCTGGAACCACCACGACGTTGCCGATCCAAACCTAGACGCTTCCTGTCCGAGAAGGATGGCCTGGAGGGAAACGGACAGACAGTGAGACAGGTGGACAGACAGCTAGACAGACAGGTTAACAGACAGGAAGACGGACAGGTAGATAGACAGGTAGATAGACAGACAGACAGACATGTGGACAGACAGACGGACAGGTGGACAGACAGACAGACAGACAGACTTACCCAGCTCTGTACTGTCTCACTGATTTGCTGCTGGTGTTGGTCAGCTCTTTATCAAATGCTGACTTCCTGCCTCCTTTTCCTGCTTTCTGATTGGCTGCTGCACAGAGAGAGGTAGAGCGTGTGATCCAATCAGATCTTTACATATATCGTACCTGAGACACAGAGTCAGAACACTTCAAGGTATTAAAGGAGAGAACTGTCCAGCCGGACTTTACTGATCCAGTAAAAAATGCCTCTAACTGGACCAGAACACAGCGGTCCTGTCCTCTGACTGGACTAGAACACGACGGCCCTGCCTTCTGACTGGACCAGAACCGGTACCTTTGCTTGGCGGCGCCTCCTCCTCCATCATGGCTCTCGCCCTCTTTGGCCGTCTCTCTCTCTTGGCCGCTCGCTCGGCGAACATCTGAGCCTTCAGGATCTCGAACTGAGCGCGCTCCTCAGACTGACATCACAAACACAGCAGTTATTGATCGATGGAGGTCGTTGACTTCAGAGCTGATCACAGTCATCGATTACTGATCGTTGTTTTACCGTCAGCTCCTTCTTCTTGCCGTCCTTCAGGAACTTCTGTCTCTTCTTCTTCCCTCTGAGAGCGAGATCGAAGTCCTGCAGAGCCTTGGACACTGGAGACCAGTCACAGAAGGTACCACTCAGTACTGCAATGCTACTCAGTACTGCAGTACTACAATACTACACAGAAGTGCAATAAGATATAGTACTTTGATAATACAATACTTAGACAGCACTACACAGAATGAAGTACTTTGTATATTTGTACTCACTACGACTCTGTTTTCTTTCTTGTTGAGTCTGAAACCAAACTCTCTGTGATTGACTGGAGGCGGAGCCATCGAGACGCTTCTGAGCCACACTCAGCTGCACACACACACACACACACAGAGAAATAAAAGTTGGAATTATAAACACTAAAAACGATACATGCGCCTTAAAAAGATCATATGTACTTGTAGTACTTTGGTAATGTAGAATAGTAGTACTATTCTGTAGTACTAATATTGAGAGATCCAGCACTACTGTAATACTGGAACATTGCTTCTGTTATTACTGCATCCTCTGATAGTTTTACTGACAGTACTACTCAGAGTACAGCTGCACTACTGTATACACTGACTGCATAGACCACTACTGTCTGCGCTGCAGCTGTGCTCACTAACGCTGCATACACAGGTAGAGCACGAGTCGTAGCCGAGGGCATTCAGAGTGCTCCACACAGAACCATAGGAACACAGATAGTCAGTCCACAGAACATAAACACAACTATTCATTGAACTGTTGCTCAGGTGTACTGCTGTTCAGGTGTACCTTGGCCTCAGACGCTGCCAGCTCTCTTTCTTCTCTCTCCAGCTTCATCACAGCTTCGACGTCTTTCTCTAGTTTGGAGATCAGATCTCTGAACTTCAGGACGACCTCTGCAGGACACACAGGAAGTTAGGTCAGAACTCACCTGTACAGCCCATCGTCACACTGTGTCTCAGGTGTGCGTACCTGGCGGCAGCACGCGAGCCTTCACGCTGTTCTTGGCCGCCTTCACCACCTCCTTCAGCATCTTCCTCTCAGACTCTCCGACCAGAGACACCGAACGTCCCGACCGACCGGCTCTGGCAGTCCGACCCACACGGTGGACGTAATGCTTGACTGTGGACGGCATCGTGAAGTTTATCACCTGAGAGGCCGACAGGTGAGACAGACAGGTGAGACAGACAGGTGAGACGGACAAGTGAGACGGACAAGTGAGACGGACAGGCGAGACGGACAGGTGAGACGGACAGGTGAGGCGGACAGGTGGAGACCAGTCAGAAACGTCAAATTGGTAGTTTCAGTAAAAAACAGCAGCTTATCTCTCTACATGTACAACAGTTATTTAAGTAAGTACTTACCAAAGTAGACTACTTCAGTAACTAACTTTTGTTCTGACAGAACCCAATGGAACAGTAACAGGAACTTGGCGGTGTTCTGGCAGAACTCTCACCGTTTTAACTCCATCGATGTCCAGACCTCGAGCTGCTACGTCCGTCGCCACCAAGATATCGATTTGTTCATCTTTAAAACGTCTGGAGAGCCAGAAAACACAAAACAGTGAGTAACTCAGCAAACCAGGAGAACCAAGGTAGAAGGTTCCTCCTGGTGTGTACCTGAGGTTCTCCAGTCTCTGGTTCTGGCTCAGTTCTCCGTGCAGTTCTCCAACCTTCAGGCCCATCAGGCCCAGCAGGATGTGCAGCCGGTGAGCCTGTTTCCTCGTCTGAGTGAACAACATGACATGGTCCTGGAACGTCCGAGTCAGCAGAGCTGAGAACACAGAGGGAGTACTGCAGTACTATCGTAGTACTACTGCTGATAATGCTGCAGTGCTACTGCTGATAACACTGCAGTACTGTAGTAGTACCAGCAGTACTGCAGTGCTAACCAGGACTATCATCAGCACTGCAGTATAACCAGCAGTACTGCAGTAGTACCACCTACCTGCCACCACGGCCTCTCGGTCTCCTTCTCTATGAGGTCGGATTCGGACGAACTCCTGCCGCAGGAACGGAGCCACATCAGTGTTGCTGTTAACGAAGATCCTGATTGGCTGTTTCAGCGACACTGCAGCCAGGTCCTTCACCTGGAGACACAGGTCACAGGTCACATGACACACTGAGACACCTGGACACAGGTCACCTGCCACACCAGGATGAGACCGTACCTCCTCTGTCATGGTGGCGGAGAACAGCATCGTCTGTCTGTTGTAGGAACACAATCTGATGATCTCCTTCATCTGCTCTTCAAAGTACTCGTCCAGCATCCTGAGAGAACCGCACAGAACCATAAAGAACTACACAGAGCTACACAGGTGAGCGTTAGCGGACTGTGGTTGTTCCGTCACACCTTCCCTCTGCAGGTGTCGGTTTTACCTGTCGGCCTCGTCCAGGATCAGGATCTCAATGTGAGTCAGCTCGAAGCTCGGCGTGTTGTGCAGGTGATCGATCAACCGACCAGGTGTAGCGATCAGGATGTCTGGCCCCGCCCTAAGTGCCGCCTCCTGAGACTTCAGATCCAACCCACCTGGAGACAGAGCAGGACAGGTGAGCTGAAGACCAGACGGAGTCCAGCTGGCCCAGACAGAAGTGAACAGAACAGCAGGTGGAGAGTCGTACCGACAGCCAGGCAGGTGGTGATGGAGGTGAACTGGGCCAGCTGACGGGCCACAGAGTGGACCTGGATCCCCAGCTCTCTGGTCGGAACCAGAACCAACACCCGGGTCACCTGGGACGTTCTGGGCTTAAAAACCAAACGCTCCAACACGGGCAACATGAAGGCTGCCGTCTTCCCTGGAAGAGAGAAAACCAGTGGATTAATCAGACTGGTCCCAGTATGACAGACTGGTCCCAGTAGGAATAAACTGGTCCCAGTATGACAGACTGATCCCAGTGGGACTAAACTGGTCCCCGTATGACTAACCTGGTCCCAGTATGACAGACTGGTCCCAGTGGGACTAATCTGGTCCCAGTATGACAGACTGGTCCCAGTACACGGTGTTACCTGTCCCAGTAGCAGCGCAGGCGCAAAGGTCTCTGCCCAGCAGGCCGACAGGAACACAGGCCTTCTGGATGGGAGTCGGCTGCTTAAAGCCCAGAGCAGTGACGGCCTGAAAACAACCAGCAGGAAGTGACTGATGATGACGATGACGACGAAAACGACAAGGACAAGGACAAGGACAACAACAACAACAACTGAACAACTGAATTACGAAGCCAGATCAGTGGGTTATCAGGTATGCTGAGCTTAAAGTCAGAGTTTTTAGTGTCACGAAGGTGGCTATCTTTTTACCGGGCTAGGTTTCCATGGTAACTGATGCTGTGGAGCTAGGTGTTCATGGTAAGTGATGCTGTGGAGCTAGGTCTCCATGGTAACTGATGCTG